GGAAGTATTGTATTTTAATTTGCCGTAGAAGGCGACATTCTTTACTTTTGTTCAAGAATTTCGGCTTCATAAGTTAGATATGGTCAATCTGTCCTCTAAAGAAGGGATGGGCACGTGCCGTCCCAGCCACGGCAACCGCGCCCACCTGACTGCAAAATTCTTGGTTAAGGCGGTTAACGAGTCAAGTTAGGCACTTAATAGTAGTTAATACCCGTATTCGAAATTGTTTTAAAAATTTTGAGCTCAAATCGAGCACAAATATTTGCCAAGATTTAAATAGTTAAATTCGTGCTTTAATTTGCGAGCAATTGAGCAAGTTTCAGGTTGCTCGCCAGTTTTAAGTATGAACTTAACTTAAATTTGATTTTTTTTTTTTTATAATTTTAAATTAATATACTAATTAATTATTTAATTATAAATATAAAAATCAGTATTTATCTGTCTTATCCTTTCAAAGATTAAAATGAAAACCACCTTAAAACTATATAATTTTAATAATAAAATATATATATATATAATACACTTAATTATTTTTAACAATATTCTTATCAATTAATTAATTTAAATAATAATTATTAACTATTATATAACTGTTAATAATTACATAACTATTCATTCACTATCAACTATCATTATTTACTATTTATTATTTTTAAATTTTAAACGTAATATCAAACAAATCCATATAGTGTAAGTCCATGCATAGCAGACCCCACAAAAGGGGAATACCCTTTTATTATGTGCCTTAAAAATTAGTTAAAATACTAATTTAGCCTACTATTTTTAAAATTTATATTAAATTTATCTTTAAATTTCAAAAGAAAAAGAAAAAAGTCAAAGAATGTCTTGATATTTTTTAATATTAAAATAAATTAATAATACTAATAATCTAAATAATTTAATGATACTAAAATAAAAAATTTTTAATTTAAATCATATATTATACTAATAAAATAAAATAAAATAAAAATTAAAAGAAATTACTTTCATTTTGCAACCAACCTTTAAAAAAAAAAAAAAATTAAGGACTACAGAAGTTGGTACCTTTTTTAGACAACTATTACTTAAACACTTTAACGTAGGTTAAGAGAGGCATTTCCTTGTTGTGATTCATTGGTGGTCACTGCAATCTAAAAAAGTTGTCGGTGAATTATACCTTAATCAATGATCGAATCTTATTAAGAATAAAGTACTAACTTAACTTCTAATTTCTAACTATTGTTCCTATTAAAAAAAAAGTGTGTTAAGAGAGAGGTTTCGGATATGATTATATTTTTCATGATACATAAATTAAAAATATTTTTTTTTTATAAAAGATTAGTTGTGGCTTTTAAAAACGTTGATTTATAAATTAAATTTAATATTTTAAATAATAAATATTATTTATTTTATTATTAATTAATTAATTA